TACGAAATCTTCATCATCATCATTACAAGTTCGACATCCTGATCTTCGTCGAACTAAATCTGATGATACAAGAAATTTAATTTTACAAAATCAAGATGGTAAATCAAAAGAAATTTATTTTCAACAATAATTTTTCTTCTACCTTTTTTTTTTTTAAATAGATTCATCTACAAAAGAACTAGCATTACATTCACATGAAGCAAAATCTGATACACATATATCATCCAATACTGATAGTATACTTCTTTCTACTTCATCTTCAAGTCCTATTCGACAACGTCTTTCTCCTACTATAACTAATACAATTAATTCTCGTCATATTCTTCAACGTTCACCATCTACAACAACATCATCAGTTAGTTCTAATCCACAAGTAGAAGCATTTCGTTCTCAACGTGGTTCAATATCATTTGATAATCAAACACCATTAATTAATCCTTCAACATCATCAACAATAAATAAAACAAAAGTCTTACCAACATATTCAATTCTTCCAACATGTATAACAAAACCACGTCTAAAATTTAGTATGGTACGTGATACAGCTATGGCTAGTTTAAGTCATAATGCACCCGTTTATTCAATGCCAATAATACGTGATTATAGTATTGATGAAAAAACAAATCGTATTGTTAATGAATTTCTTATGCATGATCCATCATTAGATGGTAAAAAAAAACATACTAATGATGATATTTCATATCGTGGAACACCAAAACGTCATTATCATCGAATACGACAAAAAACACTTGAAGAAACAATATCAATAAATAGTATACAAAAACAATCCCAACAACAACCTCGATCACCAGTTAATAAACAACGACATCATAGTTCTTTACAGACAAATTTGCGTAAACATTCTCATAATCAATATCCATCTATACATCTTTCTGATAATATAGAACAACATGAAGAAGAAGATAGTAGTGATCCAGCATCACCTTTATTAAAAGTTAATCAACAATTAATAGTTTCTACACGACGAGATAATAATCTGACAGTTGAATCTCCATCGATTATTATTACTGGTGATGATAGTGGTAGTCAATAATCAATGAAAGACCGGTGGATAAATTTTTTTTTTTTGTATATATGTATATATTTATAACATCGCGTTTATTTTTTTTTTTTTTTTTTTTGTATAAATTTCTTTGGATTTTGTTTTTTTTTCTTGTTTTTTTTTGCTGCTTGATAATTCCATTTTTTTTTTGCCAATACGGTTATTAATATTTCATATATGTCATGTAATATGAAAACAAAAAAAAATTAACAACAACAACGATAATAAATAATAATTATGGTTGCTTTCGTTCATTTCTCTAATGATTACTTTTTTTTTTTTTCATATTGGTCCATTTCATATGGGATTGTTTAGTATGTGTCAAATTGACCTTTTTTTCGAAATATTTGATGATAAATTGAGCTTTTATTTAAATGATTCAAATATTTAATATGATCATATTTCAAGAAAATTCTTGAGCTAAATTTTATTAGAAAAAGAAAAAAATATATATTTTTCATTATTTAATAAAATTGCTTCTGAAACCATTGCTACTTATATATAGAAAATTTATATCTATTTATTCAGATTGCATTTATTTAATTTGTTTTAAATGTATCAAATAAAAGATAAAGTTTTTAGTTTTAAATATAGAAAATATGTAACTGTCAACTATTTAATATGATAGATAATAATGATTAATAAGCATATGTTTACATATGTGAGAATATATATTTCGATAGAAATACTACATTTTTATGTACTAATGAAAAATACATCTGGTATTACTACATGTCAATATGTCCAGAAAGAGCTTAGATAAAAATTGAATTCGAAGATAAATGATCTACTTAAACATATAATATTATTTCTCATAAATCAAATTGAAGATTTATCACCTAAATACGTCATTTCATAGAGAATATATTCAAGGCTATAATTATATAATTACGCATCACTATATTAACAGTATATGCGATAAGAAGATTATGTTAGATTTATTCTAAATGAGTATTCTTATCAACATCTAGTCAAATTCTCCAATGCTGATGAGGAAATCTTTTCCTGATAAAATAACATAGTCATATATAGAAAGGATAGCACACAAGTTCTAACTAGTTTTGAATAATACATATTTTCATACGAATAAATGTTCTCGTAGAATTATCGTTATATAGAAAAAAAAGTAGAGTAAAACGAGTTCTTCAAAATGAGTGTAACTTAATCCTTTTAGTTTATTTAGTAAAAAAAGAAAAGATCTGTTAGCCTAGAAATATCTTTTATATTTAGAAGCAAATTAATTATGCATCATATACCAATTAAAAATGAAACAATACCGACTAAATATGTTTAATTTAGAATACAATTAAAAAATAAATTTTTGTTGTTTTATACAATTTAATAAATAGTTAAAATTATTGAGATTTCTGATTCATGGATATTAATACTCGTATTACTTTGTTTCATGTTACTTCATATACCATTATCTTCAATATCTTGTTCTATAGTACCTATTATATTTTATTATTCTTTAATCTTTTGTTTAGGAGTATTAATAGACTATAATCTTTAACATCTTGATCGAATTATTCTAATTTGATCAAATATTAACATTATATGTATTGATATTTTTGTTCATCTTTATTTTGATTCATAATAAGTATATTTAAGTTATAATCGTAATAAAATATAACTAAACTTATAGTATAATATGGAATAAATAATATAAAAATTAAAACAAACTTAAATATGCTTATGATGAATAAATATCAATACGTATAATGTTAATATTTGATCAAATTAGAACAATTAGATCAATATGTTAAAGATTATGGCCTGTTTGTACTACTTAAACAGATGATTAAATAAAAAAATCTATTAGGTACTATGAAACAAGATATTAAACGTGATGACGTATTAAGTAATATGAAACAACGTAATGTGAATATAAACATCCGTGAATCATAAATCTTTATAACATAATTCAGGATACATAAATATACATTTAAAATGGTTCTTTTTAGGTCAATATGAAAAGTCGTTCTTCTGAAGAAAGTTTTAAGATATAAATCTATGAACAAAATTTACTTTTCTATGCGGAAAATAAAGGTTGTAAATCGAAAAATCACTTGTCTTTGACTTTCACCATTTGTTTTAAATGTATTATTTTATTTTTTTTTGACTGTTTTCGTGAACCTTTCTGTCTGTTCTGATAGTTCTTAGTCTACCACATCTTAATCAATTTGCTGCTAATCTTCTTTTTTATATTTGATTTTTTTTTGTTTCTGTATGAATAATTATCAATGGAAACGATAAGAATTTTCATACGAGGATAACTTATCAAAGATGTTACTTATTTTCTCAGTAGGATTCTTTCGTTTTAAAGGAAGAATTAACACATGCAACCAGTTATATATATATATATATTAAATATTCAATTAATTATAAAATAATTTCAAAATAGTTCCACAATACAAATTAATTAATTCAGTCACACTTAGCTTTTAATTTCATTTTTCATGAGTACATTATTAATAATTAATTTGTTTTTAAATATGATAGATATTTTTATACAAAATGAGCTAGAAGGATCGATTTATACCCATTTTGAAAAGTTTGTTTTATTATTGCTTTTCTATATAAAAACAGTTCTACGAGAGCATTTATTCATATGGAAATATTTATTATAAAAAATAAATCAAGAATTCTAGGTCATCCATTAATATCTATAAATAAGCATGATGATAGTAATCGGTTTTTCATTGTTTTTGCTTATCTTATCTCATTTCTAGGGTATATCATTCATTCTTCAGACGATTAAAAGTAGAATTATTATAATAGGAAAATATTTATTATCTTATCACGCATCAAAAATACATAATCCAGAGTTGTAATCAGTTCAGTAGGTCTTCATCGCTTTTTACTGGTTGAAAAATATTTTATTGACATGCTGTTTTTCTCTGGTAAAACTTGTTGAGAGCAAGTTTGCGTGCTTTTATCAAAATAATCAAACAGTATTGTTTCAAGAACTATCAGATGATATTTCTTCTTGAAGATTTGTAAAAACTGAGTACAAAAAGAAAATCGAATGTTTTCTTTGAAGCCCTTCCTATTAAGGGTACTCCTGCTTTCTGAAATTTCTGGAGAACAACGTATCGGAAAATTTTGAAATTTTCAAGGCAGGTAGATCTTGATGAGTAGAGCAAAAGTTGTCATAGATTCAAAGTTCCTGAATGCTGTTTTCTATGAAGTACCGGGATCATTATGGTCCCCATTTGTGCTTCCATCTCTCCAAGATGCTATGTTTGATCGAGCTTAAACATTGTTTGAAATGGGTATATTGCTATTTTTTGTCTTCCGAATAAAAAAGCCAAAATATCCAAGGTACCTAAAAAGCGCATGTTTTTTAAAATAAAACTTTTTTGTAAGAGCTACCAAAAATTACCAGAACAATATTTTTTGAAACAAAAACCAGTATCCATCTCAAACAGTATATAGTATATGTTGCTTTGAGAAAAATGTGACTCACTATTTTCGTTACGAAAATTTGGCTTCTTCTCGTATAATTTAACGTTTAAAGACAATTTCTGGATCTAAAAATGTACTCAGTAGATAGATATCACTTCACACTATATAATAGCCATAAAAAAATCCAAAATGAAAAAAAAAATTTAGATCACGGCAGAGGGAGGAAGTAACCTTAATCGGCTAACAATGATCCAATAAATCGGTCAGTTTTTGTTGTTCTAAGAGATTTTTTGAACCGATTGGACCGGATCAGTTCAGAAAGTCTCAATCGGTAACAACGCTGACATAATCTCAATTGAAAATCAATACGATATTAACATATATACGTTTTTCTTTTCAAGAATGTTTCTCTTGAAATGAAAAGTTCTAGGAATTCTTATATCATTCAAAAAAAAAGGCGCTTAAATAAAAATAAAATTACACAAACACATTGGAAAAGTCAGTTTCTTTTTTAATTATTCTTTAATAATCATTTGAGTTCATTAGCATAGCGATGATGAATCCGGTTTTTCATCACTTCTGTCATTTCTTGATTATATTTTTGTTGTTGTTCAAATGTTAATGCATCGTCTTCATTGATATTTAATGTTTTTCTCATAACTTCTCGTTCAGCCATTTTTAAATCAAATTTATGGATGTATATATCATTTTTCGTTTGTTCATCTAATGTTGCGTTATTTTCTCCTTCACCATGTACAACTAGAGAAATAAAAGTATTCATAGAATTGAAATTATTGTTAAAATTTATCTATGAATACCTCGATTGCATGTTTCTGTTATTGTACTAAGAAAATCATATACAGGATTCATCTTCATGTCGGGTATTTGTCGTGATGAATTATTAGGTTGTTGACCAACTAATGAAGTTAAAAAGAATCATTAATCAAAAATTCCTTTTTTTTTATTTTACAAAATTGATTTTGAAAATTACTCGGTGCAGTTATTCTATTTGTTAAATTTGGTAAGAAAAATTGAGCAATAATCGATTGTAATTGATGTGTTTCAATAATAGTCGATTTATTCTGTATAATTATTTCAATCTCTGATGTCTACAGAGGAAACAAACATAGTGAAAGCAAATTATTTTTTATACATTTCGAAATATATATATCTATAGTGACAAACAAAAGTTTAGAGTCGTTGTATTTTTGAGTTTTCTTCTCGATGGTAATAGTTAGGAAGAATTTGAAAAAGCATTTGAGTAACTAAAAGGATTCTCTACTAGGATTGATGGACCTAAAAACTCCAATAAAACTGCTAGATGAGAATGTCTGAAAAACCAAGACTTCGAAAATCATTTTTTTGGCATCCATTTGAACCTTTTTGAAAATGGTTTTATACGATAGAACGAATAATTCTGAGCAAAATAAGATGTCTCGACTTCCTTCATCGAACGACATTCAATTTACAGAAGATCGTAGAAGTATTTTTCTTTTGTTGTTATGAAAAATTTCAATAGTTTTAATGTGTTTAACACTTTAAGACCTTCTATGAATTGAATGTAGTTCGATTAAGGGAATCGAGACATCTCGTTTTGCTCAGAATTATTTGTTCTATTGAATAAAATCATGTTCAAAAGGCTTCAAATGGATGCCAGAAAACTGATTTTACAGATCGTGATTTTGTAGGCATCTGCATCCAAGGAGTTTTATTAGAGTTTTAGATCCACCAATGTTGAGAGAGAATTCTCTTAGTTACTCAAATGTTTTTTCAGATTCTTCTTAGCTATTATCATAGAGAAGTGAACTCAAAACTATAACTACTCTAAACTTATGTTCGCCACGATAAATACGTATCTATAGCGAACCTTTTTACATTCCATTAATAAATCCTTCAATGCTATAATTATTGCTGTTGCAATGGCTGGTAGAAGTTCGTTATGAAATCCAGATATATTACGAGTTACCAAATATTGATCCCAAACAAATAATAAGGGATCAGTTATAAGACAACCTAGAAACACATTAAATATTATTATAAATAGATTTCAATATAATAGAATTATAAAAGTAATGATTGATTTATTTTTTTCATATTTTTCATTGTTATCAATTATCTAACTATGTGTAAATACTAACCAACAAACATATATTTGAACCATTTATAACAATATTTTCTTAGTAAAATTAATACAGAACTAGAATCAATTGTAGATTTGTAAGTGGCTGAAAATATAGAAGTAAGTAGTTTTTAAAATAAGATTAAAGTATAGTATATCAAACGTGATGAACGAAGAATCTTTTGTATATGTTTGTAAAAAGATTGATCAATGTTTTTCAAATGATTTTCAACTTCACAAAACCATGGTTCTAATTCTTCTTTTGAATTCTAAATTAGAAAGAATTTTTTTTTTCAAATTTAAAAACAAAATTCAAATATATATTTATGTACATTTGAATAAATCTTGCGTAATATTGATGGCATTGTTTCCAAAAATGTTTGATACATTTCAATTAAAATTGCAAGCGATGTTAGATAGGATTCCTCAGAGCTAATAATAATCGAAAATATAATATAACATAGTATATCAAGGTGTCAGCAATTCGAAATTTGAGCAAAATGCTTTTTGTCATGATTGAGGATACACAAAAGATCCTCACTGATACCGATACTCGCACCCTTCGGTCACTTGAATACGATATTCGTTTCATTTGGAACTTCAGTTCTGATGATCAAAATCTTTGTAGACAAATCCTTATTTATACATATATGACGAGTGACTTTTTTGAATTGTTTTAAAATTTAATCTTCCTAAGTTTCGCTACAAGCACAAGATTTTTAGAGATAACTCGACGAGTTTCATCCGATTATGATAAAAAAATTTTTTGCTCAAATTTTGAATTGTCGACATCTTAGAAAAAGAAAGATGCATTCAATAAAATAAAACTACGGTAAATAGATGTATTGTTATTGAATATATATTAATTTATATTTTAGTTTACCTTGCTAAAGGTGTATTGTGTGAAAGTATAATCGGTATTACATAATAATATTCTGCATTAACCAAATCATATCTATGGGGAAAGAGTGAACGATGATAAGAAAGTATTGCTTTTACTGCATTCATATTTCCTAATCGATAAATTTTAATGAAAACAAAAAATTGTTTATTTAAATAAAGAAAAATTTACCTTTAGAATTGATCATATCAGGTGCACTTGGTAATGTTGCAATTAAACGATCAGAATTACGTTGAATTTCAGAATCCATTGGTGATAGTACACTTCGAGGATGAGTTGCCAAATCATTAAGAAATTTTTCACGGTCTAAAAATTTTAGTAAATGTAAAATACGATTTATATTTCTTTGCATTTAAATAGCAGCTTTAAAATAGTCAATCATAAGTGTATGTGTGGATGTAGATGAGAGAAACAGGCTAATCCTCGCACTTGCACACCCAAAATGGCTAAAGGAATTAAAAGGTAAAAAAAAAAAGTATAAAAGTAAAATGGGATAAATTGAATTTCTCGCGGACACATTCAAACATGACTTATGTTTCGTTATAAAATATATATCAATAATTTTTAGAAGTTCTTTCTTTTTGAAAGATTTTTTATTTTAGAAAAGAAAATATTCATTTTTTAATAACCTACATTTACTATTAGATAAATATGAATACCAACTAACAAAACGTATTGATTGTGGTAATGAATGATTGAAAAATGTGCATAATTTATGTTTGTTATTAAACCACTGATGTAAAATATCAATAATTTCATTACATATTTTATTTAAAATATTATCATTTTTTATTATATGTAGAGAATTATCAGTAAAAGGTGATTGTGAAATTTCATCATAAACATCGTTTTTAAGTAGATCCAAAATTCGTTCATTAAAATCATCATCAAGTTTTGCTGAATATAATAATAATAATAATAATTTTTTTTTATTTATTTTAATTTCTATAAAAAACTAAACAAAACTTACGTTCTTTTCGAATAGGTTTTGTTTTTAAATTTTGTGCAACTCGATGAAGTACAAGACTTTTTTCTGTATTAGATAAATTAGTAAAATTTTCAATATAATTTTCTGATGAATTTCCATTGATATTATCATAATTATTTGTTGTTAAATTTTTCCGTTCCTAAGAAAATTTCAAATTAGATCAAAATTTTTTTCAAATTATTTATCTATAAAAGAACTTGTGTTTTATAGATAATTTCTTCGTCTTGAGTACGACTTGTAGATAAATTCGACATTCTTGTCTATGTTGTCTCTTCTTATTTTTGATATGAATACTACTATTTTAATATATTCTTTTGTATTCTTATGTTAAATATTACAAACGGGAGGCATCTATTGAAAGATTATAGAACGGGAACAACAGAGGTAATGTTAATAGTGATGAAATAAAGAATGGTTGAAAAAAAAAAGATATTTGTCTAATTGAAGGATTCTTTCTTTTTTCTTACAAATGGCATCAACATTACGCTCAGCTGCTTCTGTACGCACTGGTGTTTCAGGTGGTGCACGATCTGGTGGACAAGTATCAGGTTTAGCTCGAAAAACAGCACCAGTCGTAACACGACCTGTTCGTACTTTACCAAAACTTATTGAAAATAATCAAGATGTTACACCAAAACGTCTTATTGATCCAGAACAATTTTTTAGTAAAGTTAAAGATTCTTTTCTTACACAAGATGCTTCATCAACTGTAAGAATTTCAATAACTTTTATTTTAAAAAATAAAAAACAATTCTTTTTTTTTTCTCATATTAATTTAAATAGCCGAGTGAAGCTGCTTATTCAATAGCTCAACCGCAAGTTTTTTCTGCAACGAAGTAAATAAATATAAAATAATTTATTTTTTTGAATATACCTATAATTGAAATAGATCAATGATAGGTATTAGCCATGGTGGAGCACTTAATTCACATGGAACCGAGGCAGAAAGTTTTCATTCAGAACAAGAAACTGATCAACTTGCTCAAAGTATAGCTATGCATAGTGGTGAACAAGGTTAACAGTAATTTTATGTATTAATTTAATAATTCATTTTATTTTTTTTGTATTTAGGACATTCATTAATGTCATTAGAAGATGAAATATCACAACCATTATTAACTCTTAGTGAAACAGAAACAATATTTATTTTAAGTTTGGATAGTGCTATTGTTGCCAATGATTCAAAAGATTTAGAAATAATTAAACATGAAAATGAACGATATGTTGAAGTAAAAAAGAAAATATAAAAAGAATATTTAATCAAGGTTTTTTTTGCATATATATATATATATATATTTAGTTATGTAAAAGTAAACAAGGTAGTGATTTATTTAGTGATCGTGGTATGAATACATTCAATAGTAGTGTTAAAAATAAAGAAGTTCAATGTGAACGATTAAGTTCTCAAGTAAATTATTTCTTGTATTTGAAAAGAAAAAACACAACGACTTGTTTTTGTTGTTTTAAATAGAGTCGAGAAGCATATGCATCAACTGCAGATATGTATGATTCAGAAAGAGGTGAAAGTAAAAGTATGTATAGATTTGAAAAATGAATTTTGAAATTTTTTTTTCTTATTCTTATCGTTTAGTTATACTTGTCAAGGGTGTACATGAAACACAAACAATTGATGATGGAACTATTCGTCTTGGTTCGTTATTAATATAAATATTTATTACTAAAGAATGAATATATTGTTTGTTTTTTCTTTTTTATTTATTTAACTATAGATCAAACACGTTCTTTAAGTTCTGGAGTTGATAAATCACATGGAACACGTCTTTCGGATCAATCAATGGATGAAACGATGCGAAAACCAGCTGTAACAAAAACTGCAGCTGAAGAAGCAAAAGTTCCAGAACCTTTTGATGTAAAAATTTAATGATAAAGTTTTATATGAAATCATTTTATTTGTTTCGGATTTTTTTTTAAGTCATCAAAAATTGCTTCATGTGTATTTATTATGGAACGAGTACTTAATTCGAATACTAATCAAACAAAACAAGCTATTTATCGAGGATTAACACCTTTGGTAGTCAAAGAAGAAAGTAAGTTTAATAGGAATTAGTAAAAAAAAAAGAAACATCTGTCATTTAACCTAGAAAACTCGATTTTTATTAAAAATAAAAACATTTTTTTTGAGATCAACATATGAACATGTCGCCTAGCGTACGAATTTATAAAAATAGTTTTGATTCTCGAATGTTTGTGAATAATCTTTTATACCATCTGAACAAATAATGATGTCTAGAGAAATCAATAAAATTTTTTTGTAGAGTTAGATTTACAAAATGAAGAAATATCTTGGAAAGGTAATCAAATCTTGTACGTCTCAAAGACACACTTTTGAGATCTACAATAACATAAAGGATGTGACGATGAGTCTTCCCTTCACTCACAACCACACAACACACATATCAACACCCATACCTTCGGTAATGACTCCACTGCACAGAAAATTCTTTCTCAACATACTTCATTCTAGAGAGCTGTCTTTTTTACTAATCGATACATATACACATAGTCCTTCATATGAGGGAAAGGAATTTTCTCATTAATCATCAATGTTAGATAAATCCTGAGTTTTCTATAAAACCATACGTAGAAATTTCAGATATTTTAATTTTTAATATTCCCAATAATTAAAACAGAGTAAAAATTAAAAAGACCTTTTTGCATCATCCGAAGTGGTAAAAAGTTCTTTGTCAAATGAAAGTAACTCGAGCTCTACAGCTTAGTCTCTGAACATCTTCTGAACGATAAGGTATGGAGGCATGAAATTTCCTTTTTTTTTTTTTTTTATTAATGTACTTCCATGAATCAAACACTGAAATTTTGTCCATAGAGATAGGCCTTCGTGTAACTAGAATGTCCTGAAAATTGCAGCTCTAAATACATGTTTTCTTCACAAGATATTTAATTCCGAAAAATCGCTCATATTCCATAAAATCTTTGAGAATCTCATGTTTTTTTTTGGAAATCTAATATCTGATGAAAGGAAACATTATTTAGAGCTGAAATTTCCAGAACACTCGAGTTACAAGTAGGCCTATCTATGAGCGAAATTTCAGATCAAAATGTTTTTATTCAATTCTTTTGTAAACTCCGTGCTAAAAGACTAAAATTTTAGTAAAACGGCTATAATTTAGTAGGGAAAATCTTGGAACCTTTATCATTTTGGAGTTTCTGATGCTTCGTTGGGGTTTACCTAAGGCATAGGGTTCGAACTTAAAAACGATTTTCAAGTTTGGAAGGTTCTCTAGTTAGTCAAGATCTTTTTAATGTCGTGAACCTTTTGAGTACTGCGTTAGTGCTAGAAATATAGACACGAATTTTAAAAAAGAAAGATCATTAAAAAAAAGTCTTTTTTCACTAAAAAAACCCTATTCAATTTATGTATCCTTGCATGACTCAAATCCTCTCGTCGTCAATAATTCCCGCATGCTTTTCCTCTAAGTACACCACTGAATACCTCAATATTTATTATAATCAAAACGATATCATGTCATAATATTTTCTGATAATAATATAAGATACATTGTCTTATTTCTAGAAGGAACAGTTTATAGTGGTTTAGCACTCGATAAACTATTCGGTAAATATCAATTTTTGATGAGAATAAAAATGAATGAATATTTTTTTTCTTTCTTTTAATAAAGCTTATTCTGCTGAATTAACAAGTAATAAAAATGTTAGTGCATTAGCATGGAATCACAAAAATTCAGATTTACTTGCTGTTGGTTATGGACCTTTTGAATATAATGATCAACGTGATGGTTTAGTTTGTTGTTGGAGTTTGAAAAATCAAGATGTATTATATTGAATAATCTGATTGAATTTCTTTTTTTTTTGATTTTTATGAATTTATTTAGTTTCCTGAAAGATATTTTCATACACCAGCTGGTGTAACAACTGTAGCATTTTCCATCAAATTTCCATCATTATTAGCGGTAATAAGAGATCCTTGATTTTCTTTTCTTATCAAATATATTCTCTTATAACAGATCGGTCTTTACGATGGTACCGTAAATGTATATGATGTTCAACATAATAGTGATAAGCCATTACTTGATACAGAGTATTTCTTTTTTTATAGAAAAAAATTCTGTTTTTAACTTTTCATCAATGTATAGGGAATCATTGGGAAAACATACAGCACCTGTATGGCAACTCTATTGGGTAGAAGTCGAAAAAGGTCGTGATGATGATACAGGCGAAGTACTTATGTCAATTTCAACCGGTTTGTTTTGAAAAGTATTCATATAATTCATTGTTCAAAATTTGTATTTCTAGATGGTCGAGTTACTCAATGGTTATTACGCAAAGGTTTTGAATCGAATGGTAAAGAGACAAAACAATAATGCAGAAATAATTTTCAAAAAAAAAACGTCATATATTGGTTTTTTATGTTTAGATTATATGAAATTAAAACGTATCTTGAGTAAACAAACAGTACAAAAACGTGAAGGTGGAAAAGATGCAAAAGGTCCAAAATCTGAAAATTTACTTTTTCGTTCTTCGGGTGGTCTTTGTTTTGATGTATGTCCAGATGATAAAACAATGTATGTTTGTTAAAAAATTAATTTATTAAACTTGAAAAATTTTTTTTTAGATATTTATGTGGAACTGAGGAAGGTCTTATTCATCGATGTTCTGTATCATATAACGAACAATATTTAGATACTTATTCTGGACATACAGTAAGCGGAAAAAGTTGATTCAAATTTTT